CTGCTGAACTCAATTTGCCAAGTTCATAGGTTGCTATAACGTGACTACATCTGTATGACATGTATGTCATAATACATACAGGTATGTACAGCATAACTACATGACATGGTAGACATGGTTTATAGGGCATGGCGGTATTAGGTCAACAGTTGGACTTGATGATCTTGGAGGTCTATTCCAACCTAACGATTCTACAGCTGTATGGTCCAAGGTATTACAATACTTACTTTTGGTTCCCAGCCGCCGAATCTCCTCAACTAAGAGGCTAATTTCATGTTCCACATTCATCGTGGTCTAAAAAGTAAAATGAATTTTCACAAAGTTATTAGGAGACATGCAAATCCTGTGCACCATCCTGGCCTGTTCTCAGTTTACCAGGAACGAATCAGTACCTTGTAAATCCCAGTAGCCTGGAGGCACATGGCTACAGGATAATCCAAGATTTCAGTCTTGAATGCATAAAGAGCCTCCACATTCGAGAGGAAGTGAACAGAAACTACAACCTCAGTACATTCTAAACACAAATATAAGCATCTAATCTCAAAATATGAAAAATGCGGGAAAGGCAGGGGCATGTGTGTGTTTGTTTCAAATGAGCTTAGGCTGTCACAGAATCGGAGCACCGCAGTAACATCACAGGCCTTCAGGGGCTTTGCAACTTTCTACCAATGCCCTCAATAAAAATGGAACGTCTTCCTTTAAATTCCTCTCTGGGATATGTGGTAGATTTGTTTTTTAAACCATACCACAGCTTTCCACTTACCCTGGCAAGATACCACAGACATCCAGCTGGTTACAGCAGGTCTACACATGCAGTGCCTGCAAGGACAGCAGCTACCGCGCGCCTGCTACCGAGAGCAGAATTGAACCAGAAACAAACGACCCAAGTGTCCTCAGAAGGCCAACGTTTATTTCCATTCATAGTGATCCCAAGGAACCGCTACACCGTCAAACAGATCCTGCGCACCTCTTTGCGGGGCAACACGGCCATTTTCACCAACACGCCCACCAATGCCTGCCAACAGTTTAGCCACGCGCAACTTAGTGGATGGCAACACTGCAGTCACACAAAACGCTATTTGGCTACCAGCGTCCACGGCTAGTAACTGCAGGCACCTGAAAGGTGTTCCGGGATCTGTGCTGTGCAAAGCAGCACCAACGCAATGAAACCGTTAGAAGCAGAACTCCTTAAGCAAAAACTGGCATCAAGGTAAGCACAAGAAACTGGGCCCCACAGTCAAAGCAAAGCATCCAATGCAGCTTCCACAGGTGCTCAAAGCATGGTCTGGGACAAATGCTATAGGGAGCTTCTGGAGCTGAGCACTGCCTGAAAGGGGCTCAGCAAGCACCGAGATCCTCTCTGTTGTTCAAGAAACCCAGATTTCTGCACAGATCTGGTAAATAAGTGGGGTTAAAAAACCTGACATCTGGATGCATCACAAATCTTCCCCTCTGCTCTCTATCGAGTTAAAACAGGCAAGAGTGAGACAGTCCCACCTCCTGACCCCTCATGATTTATCCAAGAGGCAAAAAAACTTTGCAAAATAGTTAGATTTTCAGATCCCAAGATCACTTGCGAAAATCTGTCTTTTTAACACGCGAAATTGAGCAAGCTTAGTATCAGTGCGGGTTTCAGGCAGAGCCCCATCCAAACCACAGTGGTGTCCTAACGCACGGTACCAACGAACACAACAGGCTGACACGTAACATCCCAACGGCACACACTGCCCTGGTACCCCCTCTGCAAAGCCGCCTGACAAGGGCACGGCAGCAGGGTTGCGGAATTCTAATTGCCTCAGGTGAACTCCACAAACTTTTAGGTTTTGTTTCACTGAGCACTAAATATAGTTACAAGTCACCGAGGAAAATATGACCCATCTACCAAAAAAGGTTACACTATCGTTACTAATTTGTCAAACTGCCAATTTATTATTGGTCATTACAATAGCATAATTAGCTTCTCTTCAAAGATGTTCACTTAACTTCAAAGGCTTTTTTAAACTCTTTAAAGTAACGTTAACTTAAACTCATCTTCCCTCACACTCTTACACCATCAATTTAAATAGCCACATTTAGAAATAAAAGAAAAGAAAAAATATTTTACATTATTTTGCAACACTTTTGAGATCAGAGAACCGCGGCCGTGTAAGGAGCAAAGAAAAAGGGATTCTAGGTATTTTAAGCGCACTTAAATATTCACTTTGTATTGTCATATACTCGGCAGGCCAACTACCAAAAGGGCACGCCAACGATTAAACTCTTAATATTTCTGATGCCAATACGTTGCTGGAAGCCAGCATGATTTTTCAGTACGTTGTACGAAAAATAAACTTCTCTTTATTTGATGGAAATTCACCGAACGGTTACTTAGCACAAATACATCTTCGTAACCGACGGCGCCGACCTCCCCCGTTGCCGACGCTGCAAACACCGGAGAAGATGGCTCCTCGCCGGGCCCGCCTTCGGAAGCACAGCGTGGTCCCCTTC